CATAATCCTTCAATTCAGATTGTTTGTTTAGTTATAGTTGTAATCCTGCATATCCTGTAGAGTTCTTACAGTTTGGTGATTACACAATTAATAAGTTTCCCACCATTTTATGCCTTTCTGTGGTGTTTTGAAGTAGAAGAAATAATAGTTTGTTGTTAGCATAAAATCTTTACATGGCCAGTTTATGAATATCGCTGTATTATATTATTCCCTAAGGTTCCAAGTGGAACTCAGGGCTTGAGCAGCACATCTTCGTTTCACTCTGTTCTCTGTAATCTTCTTAAACTGACTCCATCATCGCCTAGTAGTTTTTATGTTCCTCTGTAACGATCCTTACGTGAGCTTCGTACCCATGTCCAACTCGTTATTTTCCACTAGGGTTCCACTCTAGGGCTTGGTGCATGATTTCAGTCAAAGGTCTCCTCAGTATATGACCAATCTATCTCCATTTCTTTCTGAATATTTTTTGAGCGACAAGTTTTTGGTTGGCTGTCTGCATGGCAGAGTTCCATGATACTTATCCTTTCTAGTCATTCGATCTTCAGTATGGAGCCAGAGAAGGCAGTTGTTGATAAAAGCCTGCATCACCCTGCAACCATAGAGAAGCAATGATTTCAGATTAGTGTTGTAGATCCACATTATGATATTAATGTTCAATGCAACAGATATCTATAGTGATTTCAGAGTAAAAGACGCTTGTCTTGCTTTCCCAACCGTGGTTAGGCCTTAACATCCTCATCGGTGCTGCTAGTGGTTGAAGCGATGCTTTTTAGGTCAGATAAACTGAAGAGACGACTTCAGTTAAATTCCACCAGTTGTTGATGATTCATGCTTGTTGTTTTGTGTGGAATTCTTCATCGCTTCTGTCTTCTCTATGTTCATCCAAAGTCCTGTCTTTGTTGCCTATTCTGCCAAATTCTTGGTTTTTTCTTGTAGATCTTCGAATTTTTATGACCTTCTGGTGTCTCCCCGTCGGTCCGTCTACTTGCTTCCTATGGTCTGCCGCTTTACTCTGTAGTTGGAAATAGTTAGTTAGGGTTTTCTTTGAGTAACTTTCTCCCCATTCGATTCTGAACAGTATTCATTATTGGCAGTTAACTTCATTTATGTTTCTCGATGTAATTAATTACTTTATGGTCATCGGTCCACTAATTCACTTGAGGCTGTTCTTGTTTAATCTCGGTATATTCATAGCTTATGCAAAACTCTTACCGAGGAATTCTATTCATCCTTAGATTATAAAACAAGTTTAAGTTTAAGTATCAAACGTTTATATTTTTTAAGAGCTTGTTTGTAGGGATTTGACTTGCTTCGAATTAGATCAGTTAAAGAACCATTAAGAACTAACAGGGAGTACTGGACAGCTGTTTCGTCCTATTTGGAACTCATCGGTAGTACGTATTAGCCACCGTACAAGGCAAGCTCGTAAACCATTCAGCCACATGGACCTGACTCAACGGCCCGTAGATTCCAACATTTACTAATTCGTGATTTTAGGGGAAGTAAGGACAGATGCTCGCCAATGGCATCGGCTGGTGGTTGCGCTAAAATCATAAATTGGTAGAAGTTAAAATTCATAAGTCATTGAGTTGGGTCTAGGTGACTGAGTAGCCTGTGAGCTTGCCTTGTAATCCTAAGGTCCTGGGTTAGAGACCCGGTGGGTGCCTACTGCAGATGAGTCTCGAAATGGGGTGAAACAGAGGGCTGTCCAGTACTTGCTGGTGGTTCTCAATGGTTTATTTTTTGTTTTTCTTTGTTTTTCATTTTATACTCTTAATCGGCATCTGAATGTCTGTTGTATGTGCATTTATTTAATCTTACGCATTATAGAATATAGCATAAAGTAAATCCTGCTATTTTTATATCATGCATGAGATTATTTCTTGTGTGAATAGTTTGCATGAACACACATTGTTTTAGGAATTAATTCAGATAACGTTTACTGGAATAAAGAGACTTCGAAATTTCAAGGATATAAGGTACACCACCACTAGAGAAAAACAGAATTATTTATCAAATAAATTTATTCAGAGGGAAATAAAATATGTTATGATTATTGATATGAGGGATTTTTTTCCTTCATTATTATTATTATACACTCGGGTTCCAAATGGAACATGAGGCTTCAGCAGCCCATCTCCATTTCATTATGTTCACTGCATACCACTTTAGCTCTAGCTCTACAACTGGTCACAATCTGTCATCTCCTCTTCACATGATCAACTCCATGTTGACCTCGGAATTATGCCCAACTCGTCGTTTACCATTTGGATTCCACTCGAGAATATACTTAGCGCGTGATGTCACTCACAGGTCTTCTCATTGTGTTTCATATCCATCTGTTTCCTTAGCTTCTCATAATCTTGAGTCAAAAGGTTCATAATTCACTTTTATATGAAAAATAAGCATGCTAAGTGTTTTTTTAAAAGAAGGATACATAAATATGAATAGGAAATCATGGATAAAAGCTACTGGATGTGACAGTTAAATGACTGAAACGTCCAAAAATTATTTACACATGATTTAAGATTTAAAATCAGTAGATCGGTAGATGAGGTGATAAAGGGAAATGTTATTTGTAAATAGAATTTAATATATATTTAATTATGAAACGCATAGATTTGAAGGTTTAAAGATAAGCTCAATTGGCTACTGATGCCTGTCATAAATTAAAAAAAACACTCATTATTTTGTTGAACAATGAATATTCTTTTGGATAAATTCTTCATAAGGTTCTTTAGTTATATTTCTATATTAGTTAAATAATTTTTGTTATCAACACCATTGATGTTTTAAATAACACTGAATCAATAATATGAATACGTTACAGTTCGATAGCATTTGTGAGTGATAATATGCACCAATAGAACACTAAACTGAATATCAGATAAATTAAGGGAGGTAATAGAGGATTTATGAATTTATAGGTTTCACATCTGGCCAGGGTGGCAATAGTGGCAATGTTAGCTGACATAGGATGGATCAGGTTGTAAAAGAGCTAACGGCGGTCATGCCAAAACATGGCTTCATCAGTCAATGAAATGAACAACAGTTAGTTTAACCCACATAGGAAGGTGTAGACTTCCTGGTTGGGGTCCTCGGGATGGTAAAAACCAACGAAGGCTGGAGACAATTGGTGATATGGCTCAAAATCGTTCTGAATGACTGGCTCAGATGCTTATGATTTCAAATGAAACTATACCGTTCTTCGTTATTACTATTCCTTTTGTGTCACACCTCTGTTTACTGTCTCTATTTTGAATTTCTTCTACTTTCTTCTCTTGCTTTGTGTGCTACATGGAGTGTGGCGACTTGAACTGCTGCACATCGGTGCAAAGTTGTATGTTGAAAACAGACAGACAGACAGTGGCTGAACCTGTCTGTCTTGTACACAGAGCTTTGGTTATTTTAAAAGAATTGTGATGGCCTCTGCATCTTGAAGTATGCGGTATTTAGAGGATATTGAAAATTTATTTGGTACCTGGTAGATGATAGAAAAAGATTTTTCAATCCTGACTTTGTGGCTTGTTTGAATTTACTGATTTTTACTACGCCTTTATTGAATCACAGTGTTATGTGATCCCAAGAAGGAAAAATTAAGTTTTCAGAGAAACACCTAATATCGAATTTACAATTCGCAAATTGGTTAACAATTCGCAGTGTACACAGTTCGAGGGGTGAGATTCCATCATAGCTTCCTATGGAAACTAAATTATCCAGATCATAATATATGATCAAGAAAACAAGCATATATACTACTGATTGACTGAGGTGAGTAGCTGTATCCCACTCACATCAAACAGTAGTGCTTACTAGTCAGATTGTGGTTATCTAAACACCCCGGACCACCTTTTCGCTCTTTTGAGGCATCCGCTGTTTGAGTCAGCTCACAGATCTGAATTAGTAAATACCATCCGATTTTTGGCTAGCTATTTGAGTGAACTGGCCACACTAGAAATCAAATCCTCAATATGCAAAATTAGTTAGCAATTTGTAGTATAAGTGACTGACTGCACAGGAGCAGTAGAATTGACCGGTTTTTCGCTTCGTTAATCGGCTTTCTTGAGTTGTGTGAATGTGTATTTTTATTGAATGATAGACTCTAACGATTTATCAGTTTTTATACAACAGCAGTAGTGTGGACGTCATTAGCAGGACAAGTGTGTGAAATTCGCGTCAACGCTTTCACACTTATTAATTCTCACTATCCAGCAAAAAGTGATCCTAGAATCTTTTCTATTATTCCTATTATTACAGTGAATCTTGATTGCGTAATTGTAAAAGATTTTATTTTTATTCCTTTTCCTTTTAATTTCCCATTAGTTAGTTACTGTGGTAACTACAAAAATATACTAATCATTTATTTGACGAAAGATCCTCATGGATGTTGAGAACAAAGGTTGAAAACAAAGTAAAAAGAGTCTTATCAAAAAGGAAATAATTTTATTGGTTGTTTCATTTCTTTATTTATTAAATAATTTAACTATAAGAATACACAAAAGAGGAATTTTAAGCCATAAATATTTATGTTTACTTCATATATAATTAAAGTATTAGGCATCATGTTGAACTGTCCTAGTTGTTGGTTAATTATGGTATTGTGTTTTTATGACTTACTCTTTAAGAGATTTAATATACATTAACAAATGCTTATGGGATGGCATCAACTTAGATTTCATCCTTAATGTTTATTCCTTTTTTTTTCCTTCACGTTCCCCAGTGGAACATAGGGCTTCATGCTAGAGGCTTGAAGTTTCTGTTGCAGAGTTTATTTTTACGGGATGGGGTTGCTGGCCTCATGCCCAACCTTTCCTCTTTGCCAGCTTTATTTCTGGCTTAGCGAGGTAAAGGAGTGCGTCGGCTGGGGATCGAACCCCGGACTATGTGCATGGTCGGTGAGCGTCCTAACCGCTGTGCCACCGACGCAAAGATTACATTTAATTTTTTTAAAAACCGCATTCGATTCCAATTCATATTTTTTATATTATTCGTATTTACAGGCTATGTGGAGCCGTGGACCCGGTTCAGCTAATCTTACAACAACCTCTGCATCTTCCACTGGTCGTAAATCACAAGGTCTTACAGTATATGATTCTAGGGATAGAAATACACCCAATCGTGGTGATATATCATCAGCATCAAACTCTGGACAAAGTAGTCTTCATTCAACAGTGAATCGACCATTTCCTGTTAATAGAAATACAACACAAAGTGGTGACACTTCATCGGTTGCTCTCTCTGAAGCATCGCTAAGCCCTAATTCTTACAGTAATCAACAAGGTACAGAACCAAAATCAATTCAAACAGTACATTCACGTTTTCGACAATTTTGGGTTGAAACATTTGTTGGCGGGAGGTCAAGAACTAAATCTGAAAATCAAACACCTATACAAGCTGAAGCGCATAAAGTTAGATTTTCTGATCGTCTTAATGAACCAACAGGCCATGAAACTGATATTTTACCTCCACATGCTTATACAATAACTGGTGATTCTAGTCAAGCAGCATCAATTCTTCGTCCATTAGCAGTGTATACAAATCTCTCGAGTCCTCAATCAGATCAAATATCACCAGGTTTTATTTCATCTGGTACTGGTAGTCTAAGACGACTTGTATCTAAGCATCCTCGTAGTGGAGCAGATGGAATTTCAATTACTCCACCATTCTCGTTATTTCAACAAAATGATAAATTTCGATTAGGAAAATCCACAGCTGGTGTTAAAGGACGTTTTGTATCTACTGGTAATATACCCGGCAAAAGTTCAGAAGATCTTTATACACTTCCAAAGCCTTCAAAACTACCATGTGAACAACCGATAAGCACTTTGGAATTCACAACTTCAAAACTTAAAAATCCTAAAAAGGTAAATATTATTTTCTATAGTTTGGTTTTTAAGGATTAGTTATGTTTTTAGGAGTTGATCACGGATTGATATCAGTTAGAGAACCATTGAAAACCAGAACTGGAGTACTGGGCAGCTGCTGTTTCATCCTAGTTTGGGAATCATCGGCAGTACGCGCCCACTGGGATTCGAACCCAGGAGCTTCCGGTTACAAGGCAAGCTGGCTGGTATACCATTCAGCCACTGGGACCTGATCCAGTGGCCAGCCTATGAATTCTAACTTCTACCAATTCGTGATTTAGCGCGACGGTAACCATTGTCGTTGGTGGGACATTCATCCACACACGATGATTCCCAAACTAGGATGAAACAGCAGCTGTCCAGTACTCCCTGGTTTTTAATGGTTCTCTAACTGATATCAATCCGTGATCAACTCATAAATATTATTTCTTTGCAATCATTTTTTCTTACGGATTGATTTAGAGCTAAAGTATTGCTTATCTGGTAAATTCATCTTATATGCTTTACACATTTCCAAAAGATTTGTCTAAAATTTTGGTCTTTTGGAAAACCCTCTCAAAAAAGCATGCGAACATCTGAAAACTAATTATATGCAAGTGTCTAAAACAAGTGTGTAAAACTAGTTTTTGATCGATGGATTTGCTTTTGTCTATTTTATTACTTGTCCCACTTGAGATTTGAATTTAGCGTGAAAGAAAACAGCTAAGTGAGTTAGAATGCTTATGCTAGTAATAATGCCTTGATTCTTACCAAAGTTGGAGTAAATGTCGAATCAACTGTCTTTTCCAGATAATCGTTATTATCAAAATATGATATCAATCTAAAAAAACGTTTGACTTTTGGTTTGAAGCGTTTACGGTTGTCTAGATGGAGTTCCCATGCAACAAGGTAGAGAAGTCATCTGAAGTGATAACAACGAGTGGTGTTCATCAGGGCTGACCATTGTCTCCATATCTGTTTAATTTCATCAAAAATCTACTAATAGACCTAACCCTAACTGAATTCAGCTACTCAGGGATTGACTTTTACTAGGGTGTGAATAATCTCGTTTACTCCACTGACAAATCCAGAGTCTTCTGAACAGCTTAAGTAGTAATCTGGAAATGTTTGACATGCGATTCGCTCCTGTGAAATGTAAGATGGTGATGCTACAGGACTGGAATACATTGACTTTTGGCTTCAAGATAGGGAATGAAGTGGTGGCTGAGCATGTTGACCACTTCAGCCGAAGCGGGTTGATTGCTGACGCAATCTCAGCAAGGATATAGAAGGCTCGTTTGGCATTCACCTGCTGACTTACGCTATCTCTAGCGCAGACGTGACATCCAGCTATCGATCAGAGGAAGAGTGCACTGCACACTACTTCACTCTGCTCTTCTTCATGACTGCGAGTGAGACATGGCCATTGAAAGTTGAAGATAGGAAAAGATTGCCTGTCTTTAATCATAGATGCCTGCTTTTTGTCTTCCATGTTAGGTGGTATATTAGCGTGAGTAATATTGAGGTTAGGCGTCGAGTGCTAGGTAGGGAGGGGAAATCAATTAACGATTTTGTAAAGTTATCTCGACTCAGGTGGTAAGGACATATGTTACACATGCCTAGCCTAGCCATCACCTTCTTTGACAGGCAGTTTTAGCCGACTTAGGATCGAATAGAGCTAGTTGTGATCAAATGTGTGATCAAATCCACGTAGGGAGGTGTAGACTTCCTGGTTGAGTTGTTCGGGATGGTTAGAGCCTATGAAGGCTGGTGACCATTGGTACTATGGCTAAAAGTCGTTGTCAATGGCTCAGATCAATTTGCTATTTATGATCTGCTATATACCAAATAACCCCATTGTTTTCCTCACATTTCTGCCTATTATCGTTCTTCCGAATCTCCTCTTACTACTTTGTCTTTGTGTGCTTCGTGGAGTGTGGCGAATTCAACTGCTGCACTTATGTGCAGAGTTCTGTGTTAAAACCAGTCAGTCAGTCAGTCGGTGAGATTGAGTTCAAAGTGTATTTTCACCATCTGCATACATCCATGAATAAATAATTTTTTTCATGTGTTGGTCAGCAGGAATTTGATTGGTTACAGATTTGATCACGAGGTGATATCACCTAGAGAATCACTAAGGAACTAATGGACAGCTGTTTTCTCCTAGTATGGGACTCTTCAGCGTTTGCCGAGGACCCTTTGGTTTTAAGGAGAGCTCGTAGATCATTCAGCTACTGAAATCCAATCCAATGGTTCATGAGTTCCAACTTATGCCAATTACTCGTCTTTGGCATTGTCCGGTGGTTACGCCATATACCTCAAATCGGTAAAAGTTGAACTCATAGAACATTGGCTTCGGTTCCAGTGTTTGAATAGCCTACGGACTCACTTTGTAAACGGATGGTTCTGGGTGCGTCGGCCAGGAATTGAACGCATCTACAATTTTATTAGTTTCTCTAGAAAAAACTTAGACCAGTTAGATAAATAAATCACATCTTAAGTTTCTACATAATTTGTGTTTTTTTTGGTGTTTTTCTTAACAGAATTTCCCTCTGAAAACAAGTTTGGATGTGTTACGAAGAAAACGAGGTGAGTCGAATTTTTCATATTTCACAATGAATAATAACAATAATAATAATACCTGAGCATTTTAATTGGCACATGATGTTTCACATTGAGAAATTAGAAGATTTTTATAATGAAATTCGAAACTGATTACACCAACCGACAGCTAATTTAGGCTGTGAGACCTGGCCATTGAGAGTGGAAGACATGGAAAGACTAGCTATCTTTGATCATAGGTGTCTGTGTTCCATCTCCCGTATGAAATGGTATAATAGGGTGAGCAATATTGAGGTTAGGCGTCGAGTGCTAGATAAAGTGGGGAAATCAGTAGTCAAGGTTGTGAAGCTACATCGACTGAGATGGTTCGGAGATGTATCACACATACCTAGCTATAGCCTTCCTCGATGGGCAATGCTAGCTGACATACGATGCTTCACGTTGTAAAAGAGCTAGTGGTGGTCAAACTAAAACATGCAATCGTTTGATGAAATCCACAACAGTTATTTTAAGCCGACCACTTAGGAAGGTGCAGACTTCCTGGTTGGGGTCCTCGAGACGGCAAACACCAATGACCGGAGACAATTGGTGATATGGCTCAAAATCGTTCTGAATGGCTGGCGCAAACGCATCCACTCCTTGTGACTTATAATTCCCAATAAAACTATATTGTTCTTCGATATTACTATTCTTTTTGCGTCATATCTCTGTTTACTGTCACTATTTTGCATTTCTTTTTACTTTCTTCTCTGGCTTTGTGTGCTACATGTGGAGTGTGGTGACTCGAACTGCTGCATATCGGTGCAAAGTTCTATGTTGAAACCAGTCAGTCGGTCAGTAGTTTAGGCTATCTAGACTAGTGCTATGTAGAGTGATGGAATTTTGTTTAATTTTAATGCTGCCATTTATACTAAGGGTCAAATGGCCAGCCAGAAAGGATAAGCAACAAGGAAGTTTGTAGTGCAACAAACCAACCAACAGCCTATCGCGTAACAAATATGCAAAAGAGAAAGGAAGTGGATAGGACATACACTGAGAAGGCTGTTAAGCGATGTCACGCTCCAGGCTGTCGAGTGGAACGCTAACGGGAAATGATATGAATCAAAATACGACTTGGAGGAGATCATGTGAGAAGGATATGGAAGTTTCTGGAAAATAGTAGAGCCAAGTAAAAAATGACCGCAGAGGGTAGAGTGAAATGGAAATGTGTTTCTGAAGACCTATGAATCACTCCGAACTTAAGGGAATTATTATTCATATTACTTTATGGTATCGATACGGTAACATATCATGATTTCAGTATTGAGTTGTTCGGAAATCCTTCTATATGACTGGATAGCGACAAGTTTGCCTAATATAATTTATAGATGGATTTCGTTACCAACCTATATCAGCTACAGGACTACTAGTGAGAAGCAGGAAGAACTTCACAGCTGTTTTGTCCTAGTTTGGGGTTCTTTAGCAGAGTTATGGAATATCAACTCGGGAGGCTGATTAGTAGGATGACTTGTCTCTTAGTCCTAAAGTCCTAGAATCGATTTCTGTTGAGATCGTAGGTGTGCACTGTTGAAAAGCCCTGAAGCTACACGAAACAGACACCCAGTACTCTCCTTTGAAATCAGTCAAATCTCTGGTCATATAATTTTGTTATGATCTAGAAGGCTGAGATGTTTTTCTGAATGTGTTTGGTTAAGTAAGACGAAGCTTTGATATCAGTATTTTTTTCTATTTCGAGGTTCAATATAAATTTCATACTTATTTAAGATTAGTATCGAATCTCAAACAAACACAAACTATTTATTAATTACCAATTTTTACTCATAATGATCTTGGTTACATTTTGTTATCTTGGCGTTCATTATGGAAATCGTCTTGTAAGATTAAAGCAGCTCTCAATATATCAATGTAGGAACTAGGATTGAATATTTAAATCCGTGAGAAATTTCAGTTTGGACATATAAAATAAGTCAAAATAACTGATTTACCAAAAGCCTCTTTCCACCGAATTTATCATCGACCTGTACAGTCGCATATATATGAATTTTTGAAATTACAATATGAATTGTGTCAAAAAAATTAATTGCTTATATTACAGGATTTCATCATGAGCTGACATCAGTTAAACAACCATTGGAAACCCCCCTGAGAGTACTGAACAGCTGTTTCGTCCTGGTTTGGGACTCTTCAGCAGTACGCACCCACCGGGGTTCGAACCCATGACCTTCTGGTTACAAGGCGGGTTCGTACTGATGAAGAGTCCCAAACTAGGATGAAACAGCTGTCCAGTACTCCCAGGTTTTCCACTGGTTCTCTAACCAATGTCAGCCCATGATGAAATCCTGTAACCAGTCAACCAAATCCCTACAAACCAATACTTGTATAATTGCTTATGTACTTTATAAAATAGTTCATGAAACGTAAAACACTTTAATCATAGGAGCAAGACTGTGTCATTCACTTTGAGATTCGAGGACTCATTGATTTCAGTGTCTGATTTAATAATACGTTGGAGGTTTTTGAGAGAGTCTGGTAGTCTGCACGCAAGCAGTGGCTAAATGAATTGGCAAGGGAAGTAGTGAGACTTTAGGCAGTCATTGTAAAACTTCAAATGAGCCACTTCTCTGGATATTCTGCTAGGAATGGTCACCAAATAATCCAGTGACTTGAAAAAACTGCACGGGGAGACGCTTTTTCAGAAACTTCATACACTTATATCTTTTATTGATGGTAGTAATAGTATTCCTGAAATCTTAAAAGATAGTAAAGTGTATATTACATAAATATAAAGTTGGTCACTGTCACTGGCTTTTAAAATCTAGGTTTATGAAAAGAGCTTTATTTTGTAAAGTTAGAACATTTTGTGTGTCGCTGGTCCATTGGCAGAATACTTGCTAACCACAAGCATGGTCCGGGGTTCGAGTCCCGGTCAATGCACTCTTTAACCTTGCTTAACCGGTAGTAAGCCTGGTGAAGGGTGGGGAGGTTGGGCGTAAGGCTAGTAACCCCACCCTGTCAAAACAGAATAACATTACTGCTACTGAAACTTCGAAGCTCTAGCTTGAAGCCCTATGTTCCATTGGGAATGCAAAAGAAATAAAGTAGGGACGTTTTCACATTGTAATTTCTCCCAAATATCATCGTTGATGAATCTAGTTCGGTGTTTGTTTTCTATTGATAATGACGAATAGAAATATCAATCCTCTGTCTGGTATACCTTCATAATAAGTCTTTTTAATAATAATAATAGCTTTATTCAGAGTAGTGTTTTGTATAATGTGCGAAATTCTCAGCAGAATTTATTATCTAATATTTTCTCTTCATTCGGCATCTTCAAGTAAAATAATAATTGATAATAGGCCGCCTGATGCAGTATCATCTGACCGGAAGCCCAACCAATCTCTTATGATATTTTTTCTTTGACTTCTTCGAGAAATGCACAATATTTAGTTGAAAGCCAATTAGAAAAAAGTGCTCGCAAACATTTTGCAACCTAAAGACATAACGTGATAACTACAAACTGTAGGTAGTTAATTTTATTTCCTAGGGAGTAGTAGTTCATACCATTCATGATTGTGTAGAGACTTGCTAATCGGCAGGCTTTAAATGTTTCAGACACTCTCTAGAGTAAACAGTGCTATTAGAGATGATATTTTCATAGAATAAAACTATATGAACACAAGAAATAAGATACAGTCTAATAACGGAGACTTTTTGGTGCCCCAGGTTTTAAGCAGACCGCCGAAACTTTGGGTATAAATGAATGTATAAGGTGTTTTCGTATCTAACCGGTGGAACAGACATTAAGGATTGAGCTAACAAAATAATTTCCATATATATATAATCCCTCTCCCTCTTCCCCTTGTTATTTGTCACCACCTCCCATATCTCCGGTGTAGGGGTTGCGTCATTTTCATCGAACTTGTGCGGTGTTCAATCGGCAACACAAAAATTCAGTGATTAACCGAACATGCACGCATGCAATCGAAATGACGCAACGCCTATACTGGAGACACGGAAAGTGGTAACAAACCGAAAAAAGTAAGAGAGAGAGGTATGAAAAATATATAAAAGACAAATTGTGAAGCCATGTGGATAAACTGATATGATTATGAGCAATAATTCATGCTCAAAACGTCATCCAGTTATTAATACTGCGTCACTGTGAGATATTTGAAATAAACTTATCTAAAATGGAATTACATTCAAAAACCAGATTGTACTGGATAAATGTTTCACCCTAGTTTGGGTCTCTTCATCAGTGCACACAAACTAAATAGACGAGGGATCCAACCTGGAATCTTTAGGTTACGAAACCAAGCTAATTGATCATTCAGTCACTTGAACTGGGATTTAGTGATGGGAAGCTGTGTATTGAGAGAAGTCGTGAACATTGAGGTCCACCATATATCTATCAAGGTGAAGTTGGATGCTCATCCAAGGCATTGGTTAAGCGTAGTAGTATATTTACCACTAGTTGATAAAGTTAGAATTCATGCGTCATTGAATTAAATTTAAATAATAACAGTTTCGTAGTCTAAAAGCGACTACTATCTCAAATACCTTAACCAATAATAATTACAATAGTCATTTTCCAGCCGACCAATTATGATTGCTAAAGCGAAAAACATGTTGCCTAGTTGTACCACTTCTATGTGTATCTACAAATTTAGTTGCTCCTGTGAAGACATCTATGTAGGGCAAACAACTACACAACTTAACAAACGCATTAATGAGCATCTTCCTTCATGGTTCGGAAAAGACCAAATAAAATCTATAAGAAGTTCTATTTTGGCTCATTTGATTGATCGTAGAGATCACCAAGTGGACAGAAATAGTGCTCTCAAAGTTATCTATCGCATTCCATCAAGCCTTTCGAACGGAATTCGAGTCCGCCTTTAATACATAGCCGAAGCTATGGAAATTCGAGAGAACGATCCTAGTCTTTGCATGCAACAAAAGAAGTTTGTTCTAATCAAAACCCTCCCCCCCCCCAGTTCTTATTTTCCATTCCCTTCGTACTTTTATGA